TTTAAGCAGAAGGAATAGCAGTGCTGTAGCACAGTGAAAGCCTATCGAGATTTTACTTGATTTGGAGAGACGGAGGCGAAACTTGTCGCCTTTTGCCACCCGCAAAGTGGTTGCGTGCGTTCCTTATGGCGCAGAGTTTTGTCAAAAGCACAAAAAACCACAGTCCTGCCCTCGATGTGTGCATTTGCAGTGGAATGAGCAAAGAGGTTAATGTTTTCCATCCTCTCAAGCGATGCTTCATCCCACATGATGGCAAAACTCCAGTCAAATCGACACGACCACAGCTTAGCATGCAAGGCTGCAAAGGTCAATTTTCTTAAACGACATAAATAGGAATGGTTTGAAAAAAGGTTTAAGAGCAATCTTGAAGGCTTCTCTGCCATAACACATCTCGCTATAATTGATGGTTTAGATGTAGGTGGCTTTCCGTAAAGTATCGCAGGATGGCATGGCATTGCCACAGCTTCCACCAAAACGGCTGAGAGGCGCTACCGGGACCACATTCACTGCACTCTATTACTGCTAGGCCATCTAGCAGAACGCAACGTAGTGGCCAAGAGTATTGAGAGAAAAAGTTCCGAATGCGTAATCCAAGCATAACATTATTGCTGACATTTGCCCTACTGCAAATAGATTGCACATCGGTCCTGCATGATCCCTACCAACAGCCCTGGAGGCTTAAACCCATAAATGGGGATGGTTGTGTGGCCTCCTAGGCCACAGCGCCTACGCAGGAATTAAGTGGGAGCTACTGTTCGGATGGCAAAGTATCACCTTTTTATTGCTACTTTAATAAAATAAGTAGACTTTATCTGATAGGGTGGACCTTTTGAAACCCAATCTCTCTGCCTCTCCATTCTGCCATCTAACTTAGCAAAAGGGGGGTGCGCATAATCATTTCCTGGCGGAAGTCACCTGCTAAAGTGAAACCAATCTGGACTGCGCTTTAATACAAAGAAATGTCAAGTCCTGGTCATTTATTTAATTTTCTTAAACCATATCCCGTTGTAGCCGTGAACATTCAACAGCAAATTCCCAGCCCTGGCTTTTGGAACGCCTTCAACAGTAGCATTGATACGGAATGACGCCCAAGTGCAATGTTTTAGCTGTTTGCTTGTCCTCTTCTTGCTTGTTGGGCGCGTAAGGCTTTGCATTTTACCTTTGGTTGGCAACGCGGCCTTCTATATCTGCCGCCGGCATCTTAGTTTTTCCACATATTCCATCCAGCTATTACTACATCACCTTTTGTCATCAGAGAATCCCAAAAGTAGTGACTTCTTCGGACATGTTGGTCTAAAACCTCTTGGAGGCATGTCGTTGCAAAGAACTGTGCTAACTGAGCGACTTGTAACATGCTTCACTAGGAGAGAAAGGCCAGAAACCAAAACCAAAGTAAGTATTCCCTCAACCTATGATGAAAAGTAAAATGATGACAGATATGATATGGTATGAATTGCGGATATGATGGAAAATGGAATATGATAATGCTCTGAAGGGTTGACAGCTAGAAGCGGCTCTGCAATGCGGTCCACTTCAAACGCGCAAAGGTAGATCCAGGTGTGATCGCATGACAATAAACTTTACCAGTAGGCAAAAAGAGCCTGCAATTTTTGCCACCTTGGTCACTCTGAAGGCAATTAACACCCGCACTTGATTTGAGATCCCGCAGTATGGACGCGCATCAAGGTGATTTACAAGCATAAATCACTGTGGATCAGTCCAACCCATACTAAGGCAATAAATCCGATTTTATGGAGGCCGCATTTTCCCATTGCTCTTTGGTATTCATGCCATCGCAAGCAACCAGGAATGTGCCATGCGTGGGGTGGTGGGTGGGTGGGGAATGAAAGCCAAGGGTGGGAAATGGGAATCGGGCTCAGTTTGACCTTTAATATGCATTATAGTGACTGTCGAAATGTGTGAAAGCTTGATGGTACAAATAATTAATAAAACAGGGAAAGTCGGCTTATGTAGACCTGCTTTTGTTTAAATATGGCAGTGTTTTTGTGCGAGGTCCTCTTTTTTTTACATCCTCCTAAGGATTAATTGGTGTAGAAAGATAAAGCGCTTCGTTTGAGACCATTAAGTAAAGTATATATGCTTTCTAAGGTCGTCAATCGAGCATGACAGGGTAGTGGAAGGAATGACAAGACTTAAGCTTGACTGTTTGAAATTACGTGTGATACCAAGCTGTTTTTGGCGTTGCAGTGTAATGTTGCTTAGTCGTTGAGATTGGGCTTAGGAGGAGAAAGACGCAAACTCAATTCCATGACCTAGCGGGTGAAGTGCGAGGACCCTTCAACCGAATGGCCCGGACACCCTGTATGTCTGCTCGTAGCAAAATAGAAATGCCTAATAAATCATCGTTGGTATGCCATCCTTCAATGAAGATTGAGATGAGGGACAAAGAAAGCGACCACATGATGTCCGGCAGTTATTTTAAGATTCGTCTGCTCTTTGTACGTGTGGACTGACCCTCAGGCCAAGCTCAGGCTTAATCCCTTTCTTCGCTCTAAAATACTTGTATCCAGTTCTGTTTACTGCCTTCTTCTACCCGGTGGCAAGCCTTGGGATGCTACACTAGTAGCAGCAGAAGGCGAACCTGACATTTTTTGTCAACAGCTTTAATCCTAAAATGTACCTTTTGTTGTATGTGTCAGCATTGTAAAGGAGGCGCATTCACATCTGCGGCGAAGGAATCTCCAAATCCTTTACAGCAAAAGAGTTAGGAGTGATGTCTACGTTTGGCTTCCCTTGTCCCCATGTTCCGCAGACGAGCTATTAACAACTAAACAATACCGCCGTGAACCATCAGGAAAAGTTTTGTGTTGGAAATTTATTTCATAACTCTGAATATAGGTGTCGAAAATAGTACTCCGGTTCTCCTTGTATACTGGACTGTAACTGACCCTGGTTCCCCTGTAACGCATCTGTTATAGATCAGCGTTTCTCCGTCTATTCCTAGAGACAGTTGATGATCAAGAGATGTATGCTGTATTCAATTCTGGCTGTCTGACCAAACGTCATTCCATGTCCAATTGAAGCTGCTGAGACAACTTTGAACCATTCTTCAGTCTCATGGTAGGTGTTGAGTAGCGCGGCTGGCTCGTTGGTGCTACCTTGCAGTACCGAACATGTTGTTATGGTTGGCGGAGGAGATGTACCAAGACGATCGCCGAGGACATCGCACGAAAGAAGAAAGCGGCAGTGTATTACTATGTTTATGTGACCACTTGATGTCTGGCAGCTGCTTTAAGACTCGTCTGGACCATGTACGTATGGGCAGGGCTTCGGGCCAAGCTCGGGCCTAATTACTTTGTTCTCCTTGAAATGCATGTATTCAGTTCCATTTACTGCCTTTTTCTATCCAATGGGAAGTCTTAAGATGCTACAGCAGCGTTGATCTATTTCTGTTCGCTTATCTACGCTAACGTGAAATAAAGTTTGTAGCGATTACAGACTTCATTTTAGTCACCCTTTTCCAGCGCAAATTTTGATGTATCAAGTAAAATCAACTTAGATAGTTATAACTTTTTTCTTTAAAGTTTCTTTTGCAACAGTAAAGCTATTTTGTGATTCCTCTCTCAATTATTCCTATAGCCTACTAAAAACCCTTTAATCAAGCGGCTAGCTAATAAATTTGTACACCTTTCCTGAACTTCTGACCCTCTATTCACAGCATACAAAATAATTGCACTTGTCAGCAATTGCTGACATATCGCCAAATTTTTACCTCTTAAAAGAAAAGCAATCATGTCACTATTCAGATGCCTATCCAATTATTTTGGAGTCTTTGCACTATCCAATGGTTGACGGCCCTTTTGGTCCCAAAGATGCTAATTGTCTTCTCGCTTTGCCGATAGGTAGTGCTCTTATCACATATTGGATAGTCCCTTCAAAAAATTTGAGATTTTGGTTGTTAATCGAAATCTGTAAGCTTTTTTCGTAAATGGCTTGTGAATCTTGGTCGAGTTTTCCAGGTTTCCAACGGCGCATGTAAATATCCTTTTGCCGCTTGTACTTCAGATTTGTTTCCAAGCCGACTTTAATCTTGTTTGGTTCTGTGGCATTCATTAAACTTATTTGTAGTTGTTCTTACTTAGGTTGGATCTGCTGCTTTGTTTGTTCATCCTTAGTCGATTGGAGTATTTTCCCCATCCTACTTACATTTTTCATGGGTTTAAGTATGGGTTTGCTTTGTGTGCAGCTGGGGTTTCGCATGGCATGAACACTTTGGAAAAAACCTTGCATCTCCTCCACTGCTGTCGAAGCGTTTCTGTGAGTAGCTTTATCTTTTGCCTAACTTCACTAATGTTGCTTCGCTTTATCTTTGTATCTGATTTCATTGCTGCACAGCTATGCTCAGGCCTTGGTAGTGGAAAGCACGTTAATTATTTATCGCAGTCTTTGAGGGCGATGGCAATGCTGATAGAAAGACTATTTGGTAAACCAAATTTTATCGCTGCAACTCGCTTGCCTTAAGGAGCCTCGCATCGACTTACATAATTTGTCACCATTACACTACTGCGTCAGTGACGGGGATGCGCTGCCCACCCTATGTGTTTACTCTGGAAACAACAAAATCGGGTGCGAATCTCGAAAATAAAATTACAACTTTGCATTAGCTGCTTAACGTAAAGCACACTGATTTTTTATTAAGCAAATTGTGAATGTGGGACCATTTTAATCCTACCACATCGGAAAACATTTGGCTCTATATACAAAAGGTTTGCTCTGTGTTGAATACCCAAATATTTACAAACGGCAGAGTAGGTGCCGCTCTACGTGAAGATGAATTTCTTTATGTCCTCTACGAGTGATCAAATTAATTTGATGAGGTTAGAATAGATGTGCTTGCTTAAGAGGGTTTTCCACATACCACGAACAAACAAATTAATTTTTTCTTGAACCAAATTTAGACGACTTTTCTGCGAGCATTAGCCGTAGACACCCTTACAGTATCAGGGCAGACAAAGGTAGATCGTCCCTGTTTTGCGCTACCTTCGACGCTGGGGCTGTTGCATGGTGCAAGGGTCTCCTCGCCGCGTCCAAAATACGGGGGCCGGTACACTGTCGCCATGCTCAGTGGCGATGGGGTGAGTCCTGAGATGATGGAGCACGTGAAATCTGTCTACCGCGCGCTCGGGGCACCAGTTGATTTTGATGAAGTTGCGGTCGGCAATAACTCTAGTGAAGAGGTGGTGCGGGAGGCAGTTTTAGCTGTGCGAAGGAACGGCGTGGCCTTGAAGGGAAGCCTTAAGACAATTCTAGGCGAGTAAATGAGGAGAGGAAGTATTCAATTAGTGCCTCCATCTCTTCACCTTTTCCTCATAACCTTTGTGCGCCTATTCTTGAGCCCCTTTTGCCTACTTTTTTCCTCGTCAAAAATATGTTAATTTTTCATCTATGATTAACCTCATTCAATCAATCAACCTGAATTTCCTTTTGCAGGCATGAAGTCAAATAACCTCATGATTCGAAATGAGCTTGGGCTCTTTGCCTACGTACAACGCTGTTACAATTTCCCCGGCGTAATAACCCGTCACAAGGACGTGGACATTGTGGTGATTCGAGAGAATAGTGAGGGTGAATACAGTCAGGTGGGAGTTAATTCTTCATGGTGTTTTTACCCATGTGTGGAGTGTGATGCTCATTGTTCTTTTTTCACAGCTGGAACACGAGAGTGTACCTGGTGTTGTGGAATCTATGAAGATAATTACACGTGACAAATCGGCCAAGTGAGAGACTTGTCATCGTTTTCACCCCTTTCGTCGATGTTCTAGGTTTTTTTATACAGAAAGGCAGTTCCAGCACAAATCATTAAGAAAAGTTTAATCTAGTTATTTACGACTCGGGCTTGTGAAGTACTGGATCTTCCAACTACCAACTCTGATGGTTCTGTGAGGTTCTGAGTTTTCTTCGAAGACACACTGTTGAGCCTTCTTAGTGTGTAGAAGAGCTGATAGGTAATAGACACAGCCACTTCTCCAAAAGGGAACGAAAAGTGCTAGAATACGTTAGGTACAGCTTTTTGTTGAGGTTATTCTGCTTTTCCTCAGAATAGCTCACTTCGCCTTCAACTACGCTCTCCAACACGGACGCAAGAAGGTCACGGCAGTCCACAAGGCCAACATCATGAAACTGAGCGATGGTCTTTTTCTGCAGACCTGTGAAGACATCTCCAAGCTCTATCCTGCTGTGAGTTGTAGCTTCACGTCACTTTTATACCAGTTCCAGGATGATAATTTTCAGTTTCTTACCGTAGATTCACTTTGATTCAATAATCGTCGACAACTGCTGTATGCAGTTGGTCATTCGACCACAGCAGTTTGATGTGATGCTGTTGCCTAACCTCTATGGAAACATTGTGGGTGCCCTGTGCGCGGGATTGGTGGGTGGTGCGGGTCTGGCCACAGGCATAAATTTGGGCGAGGATTATGTCGTCTTTGAAGCCTGTATACGGAAGCAGGCACAATCATTGAAAGGACAGAATGTCGCCAATCCTGTGGCTATGCTGCTAGCATCGGCAGATCTATTGGATCATTTATGTAAGCTGTTGATCTGTTATAAAGCGTTTGGATGACCTCGAACTCTAGCAGTTCATCTTCATATCAGTTACAAAATGTAACGCTTCTTTATAATCATGTTGTCATTTGCCTTGAACATTTATGATGAGCACATGTAATGGCACTTGACATTGCACCCTCAGGTGGGTTGGTAAGCAGCTTCAGGATCTCCAACTAATTTCCTAAGCATTCCACCCCTCCAAAGGTTCCAGCTAATTTTCAGGACTTCTCATGAGCACACTTTAAGGTTACTTAGCCAAGTTACTCAAGCATGAAAATGTGAGGTCAAGGCGGTTGTAATTCTCTACGATCCTTCAACAAGCCTTTGTGATTAACACGACGCAAAATTCTTGAAACTTTTATGCCATCTTTTTGGACTTCTTTCCCAACCAAATGATACGATTTCACCATTTCTCATGAGTAAATCATAATCTCCTCCTTGGCCACAGGTCTGCACGATAAGTCGAAGATTCTGCGCAATGCCATCGTGGATACCGTCTCGACGAGGAATGTGCGCACTCCCGACATTGGAGGCACGCACACCACTCGTGATGTTGTCGATGCGATCACCTCGAGTGTGCTGGCTCAGATGGACGAGTAGGCGACATCACTGCCTCCGCAGTCAGTCGACATTGGGATGTCAACCGCTCATCTAATCAGTATCTATTTCCCACTTATGCATGCACCACTTCAGATTTTGTTGCCATTTCGAAAAATAAATTCAGTAGTAGTCATTGAATCGGTTTCACGTGTTTTTCAGTTCTCTTTGTGTGTTTGGGCGGACACTGGTTTGAGAATTTCGGATTTGCCTCATTTAAGAGGGCTTTACCTTATCCATCCCGTTTCTCCCTCAAACTGCGAGGTTTATAGATTTCGAGCTTAAGTACTTTTGCTTTTTTTCACAATTTTGGCCTTTTTGTGCATCGCATAAAACTTATTCAATATCTCTGAAAGGCATGAGGCTTTCTACCGTTTAAGTCCACAGTCATTCTGCAAAACGCTCAATTACCAAATCTGTTTTGCTTTTTCGATCTTCTGCTCAGCTAATATTTCCAAATGGACGAGAGCGAGATGACACGGTCCTCTCGCGAGCCCAGTGGTCAGAGCGATGCAGAGAAGAGGACGGGAATAGTGATTGAAGATGAGGAGGTTAAAATGGAGAACTTGCAAGAGGCGGAGGTGGAGGAGAGTGGTGGTGGGGAAATTTGTGACTTTATGGTGATGCGACGTCGTGGTGCAGTCTCCAGGAAAACTTGGGTCTTCGATGCCGGTGATCCGCTTGCTTGCGTCGCCATTTCCAGCTTCTACCCACTCATCGCTATTGCAGGACGCAACCTCCTTCAAGTTCTGCGAGTAGATGGGGATAGGTTCCTCTCAGTAAGCCTATTTTACATCCCAGCTTACCTGATCCGCGGATTAAGATTTGCTTGACAGTCCCAAGCAAAGATGACTCGTCTTTGTTCAGAGGCTTTCCTCCTCCTTTGCATGTCGTCAAAACGGTTGGTATTTTGGCTTCTCAATAGCAGATTTGTCAATGGCAAAGGTGTACTCAGTCTCTATTAAGCAGAGAGAGCCTATGGACAAACTTACTTTAACTTCTTCAGGTTCACCGGATGACAAACCTTCAGCGCAATATCTCGAGTACTACGACAGTGAATACGTCGAGGTCTACTTCCGCCTCTACGGCGACATCAGCATCGTCATCGACAAACACGGCAGCAGCAGCAGCCCACTTTCAACCTCCTCGTAGCTACGCCATCAACGATGTGGCTTGGTCGGACTCAAAGTGTGAGATAGCATTTCCTGTTCGCTTCCCTTATTTAAAGTGCTTTTCCTCCACTTTTTTCTTCGCTTTGAATACAGCTGTATTGGCCACCTGTTCTAATGCTGGTGATCTGATAATTTGGGACCTGAGTCGAGGTATAACGCAGAGTAAGTGCTATTTCAACCTGTCCATGCTTCCAGTAATTAATGTTATCTGCTTTTATCTCCACCCGTTTTTGGTTGTTCAATGCATCGGCCTTCTTTTCACTACGCTCTGTACAGGCGTCTGTTTCGTGGGCCATTCACGCAGTGTACATAGAATTCACTTCAATCCGAATGCGCCCAACGAAATCATCTCCGCTTCGCACGATGGGACTGTCAAACTCTTTGTACGTTTATTAGTCGCACCTCTTACTTGCAATAAACGACTCAGGTCTTTTTTTTAACTGTGAAAGTTTTTTGATACGGCTTTATGGCGGATTCGCGACATTCAATGATCCAACGTAGAGACCAGAATTAGTTTTCGGAGGGATGGAGGCAGATACTGCCCCGTCCTCCCTTAATGACATTCTTTCCACTACCTCTGCCCTCTACAATAGGCGAAACGCATCAAAAAATGAAGCGCTTTAAAATTAAGACTGGATTGTTACCTATCTTCCCTATTGTTCTCTGAAGGATGTCCGTGACCAATCCTGTCGTCAGATCTTTCATGTTCGCACAACAGCACCATCGCCTGTTCGTGACGTTGTCTACTGTCCGCATGAAGGTCACACTTTGGCCGCCGCTTTTGAGAATGGTCTGGTGTGTATTTGGGATACACGCAATGACAGTCGTCCTGCCCGGTGCTTCCAAGCCCACAACGCTGTCACAGCCAGTATCGATTGGCATCCGATGTGGAACTCTTTGGAGTAGGTTTGCATCATTTCAAGCCCTCCTACAAGGACGCCTCATAAATTCGGCTTTCTACATTTCCCTTATGGTTTGTACGCGCAGTCGGCCTAGCATTGAGCCTTTGTTATTGCCTTTTACAGTCGAAACTGGTTTGCCACAGCGGGAGGACGCGATAATACGATAAAGGTGTGGGATCTGAATAAGACCTCTCCCACCACCGTCTACTCTCTGCGCACTAAAAATACTGGAAATATACGTTGGCGTGTTGGGGAGGTGAGCTTTCTTTAATGGTCGCACCTTTGTTGTTCTTTTGTTCCCAGCTGCTGCTCCTTCGCCTTGACACACGTTGATGGCATATTTCTCTCTCACCTACTATCCGTCATTTTATGGATAATTCCTTCTGGTCGCATTAATTGCATAACTGAAATGCGGACGAAGGTGAGTTTTTGTAGTCGTGGTTTCTGGCAGCAACGTTAGCGTCGAAACTGAGGAGTGGGTCTTGAAGCATTCACCGCTGAAGTACTTGAAGCGTCAAGCTAACGGTTGGTCCTCTATTTGCTCACGGTGCAATGAAATTCGCCCCATCGAAAAGAGTGAGGGTACCCCTATCCTTAGCCTTGGCGAATTCAGTTTGTCCATTTGTTATTAGAAGGCCTGAATGCTAAGCATATAGAGGAGACGTAGAGCTTCTAAACCAACTCCATCAAGAAGTCTCTTAGTTCATGGCTTACGCAAAATGTGATGCCAAACACCACCTTCATCTTCTCAAATCACTTGGAAGGGTTCTTGACAGCAGTAGATCAATGGCTTCACTTATTTCTCCCCCATCTCCTCCCATTTCAATTTCCTCCTCTTCCATCGCTATGCCCACTCTCTCTTTCCCAACTTTCTGATCACTGAATTTGAGGGGATAGCATGATGGCTAGAGCTGAAGTTGAGATTCAATTTTATTTTCCGGCATTCTTCCTCCTCCCGGTCGCTGCTGTCAGACTGCAGTCTCTATTCAACCTTTTGCATCAAGTGATCAGGTCAACTTCGGCTGTCCACTTGTAGATTCAGGTACTTCAGGCCCAGATTTTAGAGTGATATCTCTTATTAAATTGTTATCTGATTTTGGCTTGTTGCTTACTCAATCTTCTTCTTCTCGCTGTAGACCACCCAACTCATCTCCAGCTGTTCAATGAGTCTAGATCTGAGCATTCATTTGTGGGAGTTGAATCGGCCCTACATTCCCTACATCACTTTTGAGGGCCACTCCCAGACCATATCAGGTGTGTTACCCTTTTATCCTTCTTGAGAAAGGCGTCCACTCTTGCATCCACTGTTAGCATTGGCGTACCCTTGATTTTAAGGCATCGCTTGGAGTACCGATCCAAACAGCTTCTACTCGGTGGGGCGTGATGGCCTGCTGATGCGCCACTACGTGGGCGATGGGCTGCAAACAGTATGCGATGCAAACGCAGTGGCGTTAGCACTCAACTGTCGTGGACCCCTTGCTCATGCTCTCGGTGGGGAGCCTGGACAACGCGTTTTGGGTGGAAAAGTAATGAAACGTACTGCCTCCGTCACTACTGCTCGTGTTTCGTTAGCTCAGCGAGTCGCGCCTTCAAATGTAATGGAGACGACGGCAACAATGACAGCCACAAGAACACCGCATCAACTGCTGGTTGCGAGGCGACATTGTGAGTTTTCTTGTTCATTCTTTTAATGGTACTTCTAAAAGTTAGTGGATGTCATTGGTAGAGATGTGTGGATGATCCTAGGGGCAACGATCGTACCCACGTTGCTCGCATTTGTATTCAAATGGAAGGCGAACAGTTTGCTCATTTTCTCTGCAGTGCTACCGCCAGACGCTACTCTGCTGTTGGACGATCGAGAGGAGGTCGTCTCCCTCGCTGGTAGCGAGACGCCTGCAAACATCATTCCAGCGGACGTTTTTATCGCTCAAAGTCAGAGTGAACTGTTCGTGGCAAACTTCCTTCTGGAGGTAAATTTCATCCCTTTCGATCCTTTCTCCTACTAAGATGTAAATCTTTGTGAGGGATTTGCCTTTCCAGGTTCAACAGTTTGTTAAAATTTATCACTTAAAGACGGGTCGGCCCAACTAGTAGCCGTCTGCTTCTTTGCAGTCGCTTTAACAGAAGAATGCCTAGAGTGATGTTGGTTTCGATTAACCGAAGGCAGAAAAAATATGTCGGTGATTTGGTCATTTTAAACCGAGTTTTGACACTAAGTGGAAATGCCTTTGAATATGTCCTCAAGAAGTATTTTCAATGGTGTAGCAAGTGAATATGCCTCCTTCCCCATCCGTGCAGAAACCATCAGAGCAGACTGCGCCCCTATCCTCCCTCTTGCTTCCTGATACGTTCATCTATTTGGCGAAGAATTACCGCATCTCTGGTAGCAGCATTGAGGAGGTCTGCAATCACAATGCTGCTGTGGCTCGTGATGTAAATCAAGACTTCGTGAGTCGACACTTTTGCTTCGGTTATGGCATCATCATCTTGTAGGTAGAATGAGTGAATTACTACCATCACTTCGTTGCTCATCTCCAGCTGATCTTGAAGTCTGAATTTCATTGAGAGGCTCTAGACAGCCATGCATCCTCTGCCTTTCAGCTCTCTCAATTCTGGCTAACTCTGAAGTTGTTCCTGGGTCACAGCTGGCAATCATCATCACCACCAACGACCACTAAAGTCTCTGCAAGAACCGACGCTAAGCTTCGAAGAAATGATTGCAAACGGGGACTTCGTCCACGTACTGCTGTTCCCCAGTCGCAGCAGACATCACGTCATTCCAACCAAGGTGACGGAGACACTTCCCACTCCAGTGGCGTCTGTGTGCTCGATTTCATTTCACAGGCTGATGCGTCGGAAGCGAATGTGGAGAGGGGTGAGGTTACCTCACATCTAACTTTTGCACCCGGCTTGGTATATCATCCTAGTTTTAAACCGACAATTGGAAATATGCTTTGTCTGAAGCATCCACCGATACCACCGCGTTGGAATCGGAGACTCCGAAGGACTCCTCCCTTTCTGCCGTCGCTGGCTCGTCTTCCACCACTTCGGGGTCGACAGCTGCTCCGCCTCCATCAGCACCGCCTCATCGTCATCATCATCAACAGCCGCCATCTGTGGTTGAGACGGGTAGTTTGGGTCGATCAGTGAATTTCCTTTTTGCGGACGATGACGGTGTGGATCGTGATGCAATTGGTGGTAGTGACCCTCGTCGCCTCGATAGTACATCATCTCGCACCATACCATTCTTCAGTTTCAACTCTCTGCCCGCAGAGGCCGACGCCTTCTTTGAAGAGACGGTTCCAACTCCCTCGACGATAGTGGTCAATTCAGAGTCAGAACGGCAGCAGCAAATGGTTAACCTTAGGAAGTGAGTATTTGTTCATCCCCAGCTTTTGCTGATGTCTTCCAGGGAAACTTAATGACTATGTTTGCATTGTTTAGAATCTCATTGCCGGAGGCCAATCGCAGTGCGTTCCTTTATTTCCCTTTCTTAAATGTACTTCCTTAATGGCCTAAAGCGATTGCGCTTACCCTTAATGGAGAGAGGTAGACTGGATGACACCACACTTTTACAACTTCCTACGTTCAGTTGTGCTAGGAGGATGGAGAGTCAACTAAATGAGCTGCCTAATGTTTCTGTTCCCTTCATAGAACCCGAGGTAAAGTCCGGTCCAGAAGAGTCTGGTGTGCATCACAAGCATCATGAATTTCGGTAACATCCCTTATTGCTTACTTGTTGTTCAGAAATAAAAAAACTGCTCCTTTCATTGCATGGTGTTTAAAAGTGATCTTATCATTGTCTTCTCGTTCTACTCCCTATGCATCCTCAAGTTATTATTGACCGATCTTTCGAGACGCGTTTATACTGATTTTTTTAGACGTGCTCCTACTCTAGCCAAGCATCATCCATCTGCCCGTCTCAACCTTACCTCGGCTACAGATTGCGTGGAGGCCGTGGACCCAACTGTAGTAGCAAACCTTACTCGCCCACTGGACTTCACTCATCTTGTCGGCGCCTGGCTCCTTGAGTTGGTAACTCACTCACTTAATTGTCCAATCCAGATTCCACCTTAATATGTGATCGCCATTCTCCCTAGGTTATCATAGCCCCATATTCTGTATTTTCCTAATTCCCAAGTTGCTGCTACTTTAGCGCCATTAAGATGCTTTCTCATGATGATCTATTAACGCTGAGGGACACCGAGTCACACATGTTCTTCACAACTTGAACTAAGTTAGGCCTAGTCGTGCTACTCTGTTGGGTGTTCGGTGTGGTTTCCTTGTTTCTACACCGCTTTAACGTGGCAGTTAGATTTACATCTTCCTGCATCTTTTCCCTTGCCAGATCGAGGCGGGCCACGTGCAGTCAGTGTGCACTGCATTGCTTATCTTCGGCACTGAACGCACACGCATTAACGAGTGGGCAAGTGAGAAGCAAATCGAGTCATGGTTTTCTGCATACCTAGGTCAGTCCCTACTTCCTGCGACCACTAATTTTACGGGTATTTACTATACCTGTCGCAATTCTACCTCCTTTTCCAGACGTACTAGTTCGCTTCCGTCTTTGGTGTGTATCAACACGCATCATAAAACACTGTGGTGGCAGTCAAGGTGAGGTCCCGATGTCGCCAGTATCTGGGGGAGGTATAGTCAACACGCCGACAACGCCGAATGTTGTGACCCCCACTACAACTGCCGCAGCCACAACACCGTGTACTGCAGAGCCAACTCAGCAGTACCCCGTGATGAAGAAGCGCTCTAGTAGTGGTCAGTTGGCTGTATTTCTGAAGTGATATTACTTTCAAAGAACACTTATTTAAGAATAGTAAGGGTAATTTGCGACGTATAAGCATCGAGGGAATTTATCCCACTATCTCTCCCTCCTTGGCAGTAAAACCGACGTTCGTAGCCCTCCCTCTGGCCCGTCACATAGCCATCCTCAATCAGACCGGTACAAGTGTCTCGGTGCGTTGCGGCAAATGCTCAAAGCCCCTGCAGCGCTCTACCTCTGCCACCTCCTCTACTTCGGGCGGTGTCTCTGTGCCATCAGGAACACCGCACGCTGCGTGGGCATGTGGACGTCATCCAAGCGCAGAAACGGCACTCTCCACCTGCGCCGTATGCCATATGACGGTGAGGGGTATATACCTCTGGTGCATTGGCTGCAGTCATGGTGGCCATCTGGATCATATCAGGGTAATCAGAGATGCAAATAATCGTTCTATTTGGCAGCATTAGTCCGTAGTATACCACGCTCTGCCAGAATTACACATTCCCTTCATTTTCCACACAGGAATGGATTTCCCGTCGCGCCGAGTGCCCAGCTGGCTGCGGCCATTATTGCGAATACGGGAAACTGGACAGGAACCTCTACCTTCAGATCTCGGCATAGCACTCTCATCTTTACCCTGTATTTCTGCTTTGACATATCCCTTCACTCATCTGCCTTCAGATCTTGTTTTTTCTACTTCTTAACAATATGCCTTTTGTTCAGGTAAATAGTTTGCGCATTTTTAAACACCTTCTCATATGACTGATGTATGGCATCTGTACCTTGTAGCAATTCGGTTGCTACACTGGGAAGAATGAAAGATGGTCCGTTTTGCATTTGGGATTCCGAAGTCTAATGCTCTTACACGGGTGTTCTCTCGCTATGAAAGTTAATAACATCCCCTATAGACTGGTCAATGGATAAATCAAGAAGTCGGTAGGAAAGAGATCAAAGGTTAGGAGGCTTCCCTTCGTGTCGTGTTGCTTTAGCTAATAGAGGAACGGAGAGCCTTCTTCTTGTGTCCTAGGGCGTAACAACTTGCGATGATAAAGCAACCAATGGTAATTATAGCGAGTGCAATGACGAAGATACCGATTCTGTGCACAAACTGGTGTTGAATTTGGGCGTTCTCGTCGGTGAGCAAGAAATTCAGGGACGCTGCACTCATTCGGCGGCAGATTTTGTGTTCAGATCCACTTTCACTGGGAAGAATTATGACTGTACATATGCGTGGGTCGCCGCTACATATCTTGCCAGCTGTTGGAATCAAAGAACCCTTTTCCTGAAAGTAACGAAACAGTATATTATAAGTTTCGTCAGATGAGCAGTTCAGCACAAAAATGCTCAGTTCACTAAGTCTAACATTCGGAGATCGCTAATTATTAAAAACAAATTGGGTGTAAGTATTCACCACGGTTTTTAAAAACAGGGTTGGAGTCCTCCAAACAACGGTTCTGTTAGAGGTGGTTAGGGAGAAGCTGTGTTCACCAAGTAGACCCACAGTGACTGGAGTGGAGAATGAGAAATGGACCATCGAATATTTGGAAAATGGCATTATAGTGCTTCTAAAGATGGTTGTTCCAAGGATTCTATGGTCAAAATCTGGCACAAATCCTTTCCTATTCCATTTGACTGGTAAGGAAATTTCTTTCCGTTTGTTGCATATGTGACTCCATTTAAGTATCATGTTGGGTGAAAAGTCATTGACATGCTCACCTTCAAGTGTGACAAAGTTAACAATATTCAAAGATCGTAGATGCTGGGATACCTGGTATTTCTTCAAGGTTGTGTTAAATCCTTTATCCAGTGGTGCAAGAAGAGGCAAATACAATGTCGTCTTATATGTTTTCAAATTATCTCCATAGTCTCCACTTAAATAACCAAGATCATCTGGTCCAAAAAGAAACATCGCAATCCACAATTTTATCCCACTTATCAAACTTGGTGAATAAAACATAACACACGCTAACACATTAGGTGCATTAACTATGAATGATACTGGTTAACTTAAACAAACTACGAAATAATTAATGTGAAATATTATCACGCCGCTAAATTTTATGCGCCTAAAGTCAGTGGTTAAATAACATTACCGAAGAAATTGCTCGCTGACTGTGCTCCCACGAGAGAAGCCAGCCCCAAACTTGGACGATTCAAACGCCAAGAGCAACAAATACCAAAGCGCCAGCCCCCAGTCGGCGCAAAACGTCGACTTCCAATGGTCCCCACCACAAGCAGCAAGAAAGCAGGAAACGATGTGTATTCGAACCTCGAAACCAGTGCGTCAAAGCTAAAACTATTGCCAAATTCGACAGGTGTTGTCCTTTGATCCAGTAATGACGGTATCCCCGTCGTAGTTGAACGCACAACTGAAAACTTCATCATTGTGACCCACTAGCACGTCCCGTAGCTCACCCGTTAGGGTATCCCACAGACGCACTGACTTGTCCGCACTAGCGGTCAGCAGCGTGGAGCCACGTGGACTGAAACAAACCTGGAAAGCACTACGTTAGATTTCATCGGTCTTCTCGACCACGGTGAATCTCACCTTGCTCACTTCACCTTCATGACCTTTGAGTCGCTTGAATTCATAAGCACCGTTACCCTGGCTGATGCTCCAGAGAATGGCAGTGCCGTCGGCACTAGCACTAGCCAGTTGGCGGCCAGAGAGATCAAATGCTACATCCAAAACCTCGTCTTCGTGGCCATGAAGTACGGCCAGTTCGACTCCTTTACGTGTGTCCCAGAACTAGCAGTGTGGAAGGGCAAGTATCTTACCACGAACTGACTGTAATATGATAATGTAAACAAGTTCAATAAGGCCTGTTTACGAATTTATGTTTTTTTCCGAAAATTCAACTCTGCATTACCGTGTCTATTATACGCCTGAGAGTGAGCGTACGAAGAATCTCTGAGTGTCAGACACGTTTGCCTTTTCCATCACTATTTCCGTTACAAATGAAGATGCAAGCTCTACGACCACAAATCACTCACTCGAAGAGTTTTGTCCATAGACGCGGTCACGACATTGCGCCCATCAAAGGAGCAGGCAGCCGAAGCCACTTCTGCCACATGCCCGGTGAGATGTCGAACGCGACGACCGGTGCGATAATCCCACAGTGCTGCAGAGTGGTCAAAACTTCCGGTCAGAAGAAGGCGATCATCTCGACCGACAAAGTTTAATGTAATCACTTCTGCAGTGTGGCCGTGCAATGTGGCCGTCTCGACCCCTGTCTCAAGGTCCCACACCTTGGCCGTTGTGTCCATGCTGCCTGTCGAATAGAGGCACTACTCAGTAGAACAAATACGCAGAAATAATTGGATGTCAGATTAAAGTGTACATGATGACAAGGCATAAATCTAAAAGGACATACCTGTAGCTAAAAACTTGCTATCGCAGGAAAAATGGAGACAAACAACCTCAGCCGAATGCCCTTCAAGAGAATGGAGACATTCTCCTGACTCGGAGTTCCACAGTTTCACAGATTTGTCGAAAGATCCTGTAGCTATTCGATCTGAAAAAAAATATCCCATCGCCTTAGAACACAAAGGATCTGGAAAGAGGAAATCATTCAAAATCTAATAAAAAATAACAAAGTGCGCCAATGCACAAGAACATTGTTCTCGAACTTGAGCAATCAGCTATGAGAGCTGAAGGTAATTACGGTTAAGAACACGTAGATCGCGCAGTTGATAAGATATATAAAAGTTATACCTGAAATTGGCAGGTTGAAAGCAACGGTATAAACGACATTGGTGTGACCGTTTAATGTCCGAACCTCTTCACCAGTTGCTGCATCCCAAATTTTACAGGTTCTGTCATAGGAGCCCGTTATGAAACTAAATTGTGAAAGAAACATGCAGTAAATTGCAACGGCATAATAAAGCTCAAAATGAAAAGGATTATTGACAAAAGACACTAGTAATTACAATTCAGGGTATTGTGTCACACTAAAATCGCAAGTGTATTTGCAAGCATGGTACGATGCTAGAAGTTCAGATAAGTAAACTCACTGGCTACCGGTTTTGTTAAATGATAAATTCGTCAGCGGAAGATCGTGTGCTCTGATAGTCTAAAGGTTCTACTGATAAGGCGAATTAGCTAAGTCCAACTACTTTGACTTCCGTGAATTTTTTTTTATCCGGGAGCGACACTTTATTTTTTAACTTTTCTATAATCTCTCTGAGCTGAACAGTACGTTTTTTTGCAAGTAGTGGCTCATTTCCCACAACCTTCCTTGCTAAAGTCTCGGAATCGGTCCTAAAATAGTTGAAGCATTTATGAAATACCGATAATCTAATTGTGGAAGTTGGATCGACCTTGTTCTAATGCTATCACCTTGTTTATACTCAAGAATAATGCCTATCTTTGTCAGAAACAGGTTAGACCTACCAGGTGGATAGTATCTCAAGAGAAAGCGTTTGATACGCATTGACAAGACGAAGTCGAAAACCCACTGTCACGGGAGCAACAGCCTAGACAATGTATGCGATCGCAAGGTCACTGACCAATTAGCCTATTTAAAGTAATTAGCTCGAAAATGAAAATCTTGAAAGCTCAACCATATAAGCGTAAAAGTGTAGATTCGTTTGAAAAAGCAACTTGTTAAATTTTAGTCTATTTATATCTAATGAAAAATACTTAGTTGAACTAAACGTAGGCAGGCATTTATCTGGTTATCTAGGTGCGATTACGCCCAAGCAACAATAGATAGGATTAAAGTCGGCCTCAGTTTCCACTCTTAAGTCCAGAGCTTAGGTATTTCTCGGCGGTACGAGTGACCTTAGGATAGGCTTAAACCTCAAAGCTTAAAATTTTGAATTTTATTTATCTTTGTGTGATTTTAGGTTGCTCAGTTTCAAATTCCTGTTTCAGTTCAACGCGCAAACATATTACGATTTTTTGGAATTTCGGAAGAAATATGGCGTTAGAGTCCTGTATGAAATCAGACAATTGTGGACCGTGACACGAGAACTAAACTTTTAGCGCTTCTAAATATTAGCAAGCTAAGCGTACACGAAAATTTCAAAATTTTTGAATACAAAATCATTTGTACGACTAATTCTCTTTTCCGTTGCCTAAAAAAGAGCTTTTTGTCAATTTACTCCCTTAAAAAAGGTCACGGCCATGTAGAAATAGTGTTAGTTAATGGTTTGACCTCGTGCGCTTTCCGGGTGATTTTCAACTTCGCAACCTTTCTAAAATGCAGGAATTTTCGGTTTCATCTCTGCAATAAATAGAGAGGTTGTGTCAGTAAAATTACTCTTTTGGATTGAAAATGCTCCTTAGCAGACTGAACATCATCTCTTGACAAAAATATTTTATAAATTGTTGAACATATAATTTCAAAATGTTGTGTTTCGCCTCACACACGATGGTAGGCATGTTGTCATCAAAACCCTCCTCTCCTCACAATTCGGAAAGCGGTAAAGGGCAAGTGATCGGAGGCTATTTTGCCTAGCGAAAGCACAATGACACCGGCTTTTATTGCCCACAAAACAAACTTGGATGTTTCATAAAAACCAACGTGTTCAGTCCACCTCTTAACTCACATCCCAGTCCTGTCGTGACAACTTAAGTTTTTTCTACCTTTTTAATTACAGCAAATACGTCACTGAAAGGTAGTCGTGTAGGTTCATTTTATACCCTGTTTACTTAACACGAGTAAGATTATTAGGAGAGGTACGGAGCTTAGATTATTTTGCTCACAATTAGGCAAAGCCACTGGCCGTGAATTCGCAGACGTCTACTCCTTAAGCCCACATCAAGCACTGCTAAAAAAAATTTGAAGAATGTACCGAAACCAGAGGATATTAATGTTGGCTCTCCTATCCTTTCGGTCAATCCCTTAAGCCCTTAAGGAAGCAGTAAATGTCATGCGAGGGAGTGAAAAGGAGGATTTTATCCCTTATCAGTGCATGACATTCGTCCTTGTAACCCAACAGTGCCCAACAGAAGTTAGCTCACCTCCCTAGCCTACTTGAATGTGTCGACAGAATCGCTCTCACGTGAGCAACATCACTTCAAAAGCACTGAATACATCGGCACTTTTATGCACTCATGTGTGTGTGTGTAAAATAGAATCTCAGCTTTATTATAATTAATAGACAACAGTACTATGTTTGTAAAGAAAGGATATTTAACCACTGACCAATGAGAGGCGACTTTGTGCCCTCTTCCACTCTTTCCTCTCTCTTGCCTCCTCTCCCCTCGTCACGAGAAGCGGCAAATGGATTGGTCAGTTAGAAATGTATAAATGTAAGCTTCTCCATTGTTAAAAATATTTTGTTTCCTCTCTACCATCACCATGAACTGTGTTCTCGCAGTCACGGCTTTTTGCATGCTCGTCGTGTCTTCAATTGCCGCTCCATCCTTGGAAATGGTAGGTCCACCTCCCACATACATCTCCTTCAAACATCTTTCACTCCAAAAAGCAGGAAAACCTAAGCTTTAATGCAAAAAGTGGGTTTTCTAAACGTGAATTTTGTATTTAGTGAGACAGGGTGTGGAATTCCATGCGTTTCAACATTCGGTTTACCACAAATATAGCCATTTTAGAATGTTTTATTGAGCAGCGTGACAGTAAGAGCTGCCTCCAAATAAACCTCTCCCGTTCAATGCATTTACGATGCTATTGAAGGTTATTAACTATTTTGTTGTGTTGAGTTAAATAGCCAAAAAAACCCTGCAGTTGTGAAGGGAAGCACAAGCAGCAAGTTGCAAGCATTTTTTAAGATATCATAACCAGAACTGAACAAACTTGTCTGTGTCCTCTGAGGTCAAGCAATTCTTAATAATGCTTGACCCACTTGAGTGTGAGTTTTTCGTCCTGCTAAATCTTAAGAGCTTTTGAACTATCTCTCCACATTTTTTGAGTTTATAAAGTTCGGTCACGTACTAAACTTTCCCTTCACGTAAGGACTTACGAGCATTTACAGCTCAGTGATAAAGCATTGGGTGGGCTTTGTTGTGCACTCACAACAATATAACCTTTTAAGTGACATCGGCACCTACCGCCGGGTTTTAACAACCTTCTGTTTTCTTTTTGACAAAATATTGCCTACTGGCTTTAATTAAGTAACATAAATAAACTTCCTTTAGGCGCATTGATGAGTTATGGGGCTGGTGTATATATTTTCAGAGGGATAAATACGAGTTTCGCCAGTTTTTTTGCAAATTCCTTTGTGAAGATGACTTTCCAGCTGAGTATTGTGAGAACTTTTGCAACCAAGCGGTCCCCCGTGAAGACTACATGGCCGAGGCGAGAAAACGCGAAATCGACCCCATCGTCTACTCGGCCAAATTCTCCAACTTTTAACTCTCTCTTTTGTGGAGGCATTACACTGACTTAATAAAATAATTTAAAAAATACGAGAGGTTTTATTAGCGCCTCCTTTTTGGGTAAGTTCAGATTAAAGATGCTAGTGTACAGCACGATCTCTGTTTGAGCCTTGGCAGTTGATGGTTTGAAGGCCGAACACTCGGCCTTGTGAGCAGGATCACATTCCACCCAGAGCTTCGAAACCGAGTGTAGTCAATTGAAATCTTGCCAATAGCATAGGTTTGGTACATTTAAGAGACTGGGTCAGGAGATAGGCAAGCAGCTAATGCACGATGTGTACAACTGGTGTTGCCCTGCGTAATAACGAAGGCTGGTAATTAGGCTTTACTTGTGAAAATAATTGGAATGCAGTCATTACCATTAGGCGAGGACCTACACTAGCTTCTCTGCTAGTTGAAGACGCGGTGGAAGCGAGGCTTGGAAAGTTGATCGGTGTTCCTGCACAAATTGTGTTGCCTATGCTCAACTACGCAAGGTCCTCATTGACTGTAAAAAAGCGATTTATACAAGTGACAGCTCTCTTCTCTTACATTAACAAAAATTATCACGCCATTGTACTGGGTTGGAGCTCGATGGCTCTTGTGGCTCGCTGACTTCGACCACCGTAATCTGATGCACCAGCATATGTGGCAGTCTATGATTGTCCTGCAGAAGTCTTGTAAAAAACCGCACTCATGATTCCAAAAGGATCTGAGGCACCCTCTAAAACGAAAATGGAGAACTGCACTGAAGTCATTCCGGCCACTTAATTCTTTTGGTCTTTTACAAATCTGCAAACTAATGCACGTGAAAATCCCACATCCATTTGCTAGACTTTTAATAGCTCACATTAGCGATGGCCTAACGTTGTCAGCTTGTGGGGCATCCTGAAGACTTGATGCGTCACGAAGCTATGCGTCATGTCATAACTACGGAGCTTTCCTTTGCGGCCCTCGAGGGACAGTAGTTAGGTGAAAGCCACGTTACCCATCAAATAGTTGCTAATGTGAATGCCCACATCTAGCTCAACTCACTTCTGCAGCCTCTACGCCGATCAGAGGGATTTGTGAGACCAAACACACCACCCACATCTGATGTGGGTGATGAATCACCTGGAGGTAGATGACTGCTTTGGACCCGGCCTCACTGCCGTCACCCACCTACTACCTCCCTCTTTACCGACTTGAGGCCTGCAGTCACGTGTCCCTACAGCCACCTCAAAGCACTCGTGGCATGTGGTTTAACAAAGGCTGATGCACAGACGAGCGATAAGCCAATCTGCTCACGTATGCATTCGCTGGGATGGCTACGTCATGCTGGAACCTGAATAACCGACTGCGTGCAGTAAACAAGCAATAACAGGCCGACAGACAAACTCTGGACTACTATGATCATCAAATTAATGCCTTGCGCTCCTTTCCACTGCCCATTTTGGTTGCTTGATGTGGTCTTCTGGCCAAACTTGTCTGTTGGCTTGTGATTGGTTAGTGACGAGTGGGAGGTGACCTTTGACGTCCATCTCACTGGTTGTCTTCAATCCGCGTGAGGAGGCGACTCTGGAGCGGGAAGGTGAT